ATCTCAGTCTTTGGAAAATCAGCATTGATGTCTGAATGGGGGATGAGAATGAGCCCAGCTCAGCTTCAGGTCAGTGAGGTTTCTCAGTCAGGAGTCTACCTTCCATGGAGTTAGAAGATTCTCACAGCCCATCTTCATGAATGTGGTCAGGGCTCAGATTTTTTTCCTCAGGTGAAGGGTGCTGCTAGAATTGGCAGTGTAAACCAAAGATCCCTACCTAAAGAGTCTATACAGGCCGGGCGGTGGTGGCGCACGCCTTTAATCCCAGCACTTGGGAGGCAGAGACAGGCGGATTTCTGAGTTCGAGAGTTCGAGGCTAGCCTGGTCTACAGAGTGAGTTCCAGGACAGCCAGGGCTACACAGAGAAACCCTGTCTCGAAAAACCAAAAAAAAAAAAAAGAGTCTATACAGGACATGCTGATTTCTAAATATTTATTGTGTAAATGTAGCTTTTATTTTCCAGAAGTATTTGTCTCAAAGGCTTACTGCCTCCATTTACTTACCTAGGCCTAGTCCTAGAACCTTCTAGTACAATCTTATCTAGGCCTAGGATGTTATCAGCCTCTGAGACTTACTGCTGAAAAAACTTATCCTTTCTTGTTTTTTCTGAACGTTAGCTGGCTAGTTCAACTCAGCTGAAAGCTCCTCTCCACACGAACAGACTCAGTCTGGCTTCTCTTAGCCTCTCCTGAATCACTCTGTTTGGCCTCATACTAACTTTGATGGTATGTTCTAATCTTCTGGCTCCTTTTTATTCTATGGCTCATTCTGTCTTTCATCTATGTCTAGATTGTTCTCTCTCTGCAACCTGTCTCTGTTCCATTGACCAAGAAAAAGCTCTCTCTCTCTCTCTCTCTCTCTCTCTCTCTCTCTCTCTCTCTCTCCTTTTCTCCCCTTTTCTATCTTCTAATGAGAATTTTGGGCATATCCTATTCTCCCAAATCTTTCTATAACTGTCTGCCACAGAATTAGACATTACGTCCAAACATGGCTGCTTCCTTTTACAAACTAAAGGGTAAAAACTAACTTTACCCTCACAACTAGAAACAAAGTTCTTTTCAGCAAATAACACAATCTTGGTGTCTACAGTGTGATCAAATATACTGCAGCATCATTGTTTTTTAAATTTACAAGATTAATTAAGCATTATCAGCTCTGTAGAGACCCATAACAATGATTTTCCTGGATAATAGCTTGTTTTCTGCTATAAAATGGATAAGAGTTGTTGGCTCCTTCTCTAGTTATAATTTACATCAACAATTTCCACAATTATAAATCCTTACCCTCAATAAAACTTTTAGCATCTCCCTGATAATTAACACAAACTTAATGTTTTTTCTTAAATATTTATTATCATTTCTTTGGGTTAAAGAGCAACATCAGTACAGGATCCTGATTTCAACCATAAAAAGTTTATCTTTTTTTTTTTAAAGATCTTATACAGAATTTTGAATAGTCATGGTCTGGTAAGAATCATTTATAAAAGATTGTTCACAAATCTACTGTCAATAGAAAACTAGCCTCTCCAAGGTGTATAATTAATGGTGAAACTGCATTAGTCTCAGGAGAATGGATAGAAAACAGAAGACAGAGATAGTTTTGTGTATTCTTCATGGCTCAGTCACATCTGGCACGTCCCACAGAAAGATGCCTAACTAGGCAAGGAGCAAGCAGCATCAACATCTTCACCTTCGCTTCATTATCCAGACAACTCCATCTGCACAGGAGTCCGTGAACAGGACCCATATGATGTAGAGGCCATAGGACTCAGCCAGTGAGCCTGTCCATGTAGGTCAGCTTCCTGTGGCAACGATTAGGTTCAAGTATGTATGATACGGCTCTACCACAGTGTGTGAGAGCTCAGTTCAGATGTTAACTTGTCTACAACTCAACCAGCAGCTATTCTCTATCTATATTAAACTGATATGAATGCATCGTCATGCATTTTTATGGTGTCTATAGGACAATGCTCTATGTTCAGTTTCTGTGAAAAAAGATTTTGATTTGCCTGCTCCTTTCATCTACTCGGTCAGTTCAGAGTCCTTCTTAAGACAGTGTTTGAAGGCTGCACCTACACGTGGAAATCTGGGAAGTAAGAGGAGGGAAGTAAGAGGAACAAAAACTTCTAGTGTCTTATGGAGTACTGTGAGCATGATGAATTATGGGAAGAGCCGAGGTAAATCAGACTCGGCAATGGGCTGGTTTCCATTCTTCAGAGGTTCTTTTCAAAAAAAAATTTTTAATTTTTTTATTTTCATGTTATTTTTTACCTGTGGATGGGTGTTTTGCTTGCCTCTGTCTGTCAATCACATTAACTGCAGAGTCAATAGAGGCCAGAAGGAGGCATCAGATTCCCTGGGACTGGAGTTACAGGATAGTTGTGAACTTCCAGGTAAGTGTTGGGAATTGAATTCAGATCAGCCAGCGCTCATAACCTCTGAGCTACCTCGCCAGTCCTACTTCAGAGATGTTCCAGGACGGCTTTCTGGGGCATAATCCTGTTGATTCCTATTATTTCTTATTCTCAAAATGAAGTTCATCTTGAACTTCAGATATCTGTTGTTGATCATAGGGCTCTGAATTTTCTTTTCGTTTGTTTTCAACTTCATTGTTTAAATTTATTAGGCTTTCTTTGGTTTCTAGGAATGGACTAACTAGGATCTGGGCTAAAGATATTCTGTATAATCACGGTTGCTTGTTCAAGTACTCAAGAAGTCTGGGTGATGAGGAAGTGGATTTTCTGAGAAATGCTACTTAAAGTTTACCTTTACTAATCAAACTTTCACCCAAACCTGCAACCAAGTGAATAATAATGTGCTTTGAGACCATTTATGTACCCATTCTGTCTACCTACTGTGTACTTAATCTGTTCATTATCAACTGCACTTTAAGAAAAACAGTATTACTGACCTTGTTGCGCTTTAGAGTCTCGGCCATGTACTACCATGTGCCCCCCTCTTTTTTTTTGTTACCCATTTGTGATCCTGACTCAGAACAATATATGTGTGCATAAGATGTGGTGGCTAGACTTAAGACTATTTACTGAAAACAGCAAGGCACTGAGAACAATGTCCTCATACGAGAAAAACGTTGAAATCATCATGTGGGTGTAGACTGATAGTGTCTGATTTTGGTTTTGTGGCTTTTCTGCGTCAGTAGGGCCCAAACACAATTTTCTCCTTTGTGAAAAGATTAAGATAACATTTACCCTTTCTTTTTTGATGATATAATCATTGTGTCGGTCAATAGCATTTTATTCAAGACACTAGATCAGAGATCAGAGCTCTCTGTTAGACAAACCAGGCCCTCTCTTGGATAAGTGCCATCGAGGGGAAACAGACACTGCTCGGGACACAGCAGTGTGCTCAGTTGAATGTAAGCCCATTGTGGCCTTCTGTGAATAAATTTGGGGATTTGTCTTCAAATCCTCCTTCTGAATAAACAATCCGTAGGCTACCTTCACAATTCATTACCCTATTCTATTATTTTTGTTTAAAAAGTTTGTAAATCATATACGTTGAAATCCCCCCGCTTTTCCTTTGTTTTTAGTCCTTTTTTCTACAGACATGAGAAGTGTTGGTTGGTCATTTAGGTCATACTGCTTCCCATCCTTGAAAGCAGAAACACCTGCTATCTTTCCTCACTTCTGTTGTAATTCTATTACATAGCCTTTCCATTTGAGTTTTTGTGCTTTCTTTCTCTTTTCTTGATCAATTATACCAAACTTTAAAAAATTACTAATATTTATCATGTGTATGTGCCTTATTTAGAATACATGCTTTAGAATGCTGACAATCTTTTAAAATTTATTTTTTCTTCCCCCCTTTCATTGAAAACAGATTCCTTTCTCATATGATATTTCCTCATTACAGTTTCCACTCTGTCTACTCCTCTCCGTCCCTTCTCATCTCCTCTCTCATCTGGATTCATTCCCTCTCAGTCTCTCATTAGAAAAGATTAAGCTTCTAGGGGGTGATAATAAAATACAGCAAAATAAAATATAAGAGAAACCAAAAACAATTTCATTGAAATTGGACAAGAAGGAAAAGAGCCCGCTAGAAGGCATGAGAACCAGAGGCCCACTCTCTCCACACTCAGGAATCCCGTACACACACTAACTGGAAGCTAAGTATATATATACAGAGGTCCTGGGGCAGACCATGCACATCCTGTGCAGGCTGCTCAGTCTCTGTAAGTTCGTGTGAGCTTTGCCTATGTTGATTTAAAGTCCTGTTTTCTTGATGGTCTTCATCCCCTCTGGCTCCTCTATGCTTTCTATCTCCTCTTCTGAGGAGTTTCCTGAGACCTTAGAGGAGGGATTTGATGGAGACATCCCATTTAGGGCTGAGTGTTCCCAGGTCTCTTACTTTGGCTGTGGGTCTCTGCTGTTCCCATCTGCTTCAGAAGGCAGCTTCTCTGATGATGGCTGAATTATGTATTGATCTATGAGTATAGCAGAAAAATCACTGGAAGTAAATAATTTTACTAATATTTTAAATGAAAAAATTTGTCACTTTTTTTTCTTCTTAATTTGTAGCTTCTGGAACAGTTACAAAGTTAGTGGTTTCATATATAGAAAAGTTAATAAGGTTTCATCCTCTTTATTATTGAGACAGGGTCTCAGCATTTATCTAAGGCTGGTTTCTCACTCATGGCAATTCTTCTGCCTCAGGCTCCATAGTTTGAGACTGTACGCATGGCCACTGTGTCCTGCCCTGTGTAAAGTTTAGTGATTTGCTTTTCTATTAACAACATAATCAATACTAAGTGGTTAAGTCCAATTTGGGTTAGAATTGTGGCTTATTTTATAACTTGTTCTCTGACCTTTAATAAGTTACCCAACCTCTGAAAATCAATTTCTTCATTTCCTGTGAGAGTTAACCTGGAAGAAAAAAAATAAAAACCTTGTAAGATTCTCTGCTTGGCACATACTAAGTGTCCCACAAATGCTGTTAGTATAATTATCTGTATCCACTGAATATTTTCCCACTTAACTAAACCATCATTGAAATGTCTAGCATCTATTATTGGTCTGAAGTCCAAAGGTGGAAGAAGAACTTAATGTTTAAAAGTGTCCATGGAGTGAGCGTGACATGACAAACAGAAGATTGGATGAACACCAGGAAAGCCAGAGTTTGCTTCAATCCTGGCAGTTTGACAAGAATAATTTGGATTGCTTAATGGTGCATAAAGGTAAAGAGGAAACCTCTCTTAGCATGTATAGTGTCTTCGTCCCTAAGTCCTCCTGAGGCAACTATGAGTCATGAAAATTAGATACTTTTATAATGTACATGTACGATCTACTTACTCTGACATAGTGTTGATTTCTAGAGGAGAAAGGTCCTTTGCAGAGCGATTGGATTTTTCCTTTGTATCCGTATGTTAACTGGGACATTTCTCACCTTACACTTTACGGACTAGCTGAAGTGCACTGGGTATTTAAAAATCCAGGAAGCAGCAGGAATTTTCTGGGGCTCTTGGTCCCTATCAGACTTGAGTAGCGTTCTTTGAAGAAGCCTGTAACGTTGAGCGGAAGCAAAAAAAAAAATCTGTCTAATTAGTTCAATTCAGTTCCATATATATGACCTGAGCATCCACAATCTAACAGGATGGTGTCCATCAGCAAAAGAGGTTGTATGTTCATGTATTACTTCAAAATATAACACAGTACATTCATTTCAGTCATCATTAGGATTGCCATATTATTAAAATAATTATGGTGTAATATATAAGCCTGTTTAGGCTCCAAAAACAACTTGTGGCTAATCAGGTTATAAGAGCAACACATTTTAATTTTCATAGCACCCTGATATTTTAAGAAAAAAAACCCTGAAGCATTAATATTGCCATTTTTAAAAATAAGAGTTTCTTGAATACATGAACTTTAGCAATTTAGATGGTAAATCCCTGGGTGCTTATCTAGGCAAGCTTATTTTATCACACAATTTATTGACATAATTTACCAAGTTTTTGCTTTATTAAAGCTAAGGTTTCTGAAACACAGCATCCTTCTTTTCCACAGTCCTCTGGTATTTTCTTTTCATCCCGCAGTCTTCTCTTTGTTGCTTTCTTTCTGATCATAATGCTTTTCTTTCAAACTCTGGTTTTCCCATTAAGCGTGTGGAAGTCAATTAGGCTTTTTAATATTGTCACTAAAAAGATGCTTTCTATAACCATTGTCTAGTTCTCTTTGAATTATTAGATACAGATTCAAAACCACTAATGTTAGAATAACATAATATGCTCTTTAACTATGCTTACTTATGCTGTCTATGGGGAAGGGAGGGAGAGAGGGAAAGAGAGAGAGAAACATAGAGAGACCTATTCTCTCTATGTTTTGGATATGATAATATGCTCAAATGAATTAGAAAGGTACCAAACAGCAAAGCATAATAGAGCATAAGAGAGATTAGAATTCAGGCTCATTTTTTCCCCCTGTATCCAACATCTTTTGTACACTCAGCAGAGTCCTTAGCCTTGAAATAGTATAACAGGGACTTTCCATGTATCCCAGAGTAAAAGAAGACTTTAAGAATTCTCAAGTGTCTGGTCTCTCGGCCATAATGTATTTACATCATTCATCTTTGGAATTTTCTCATGGAGCAAATGTCATAGAAACAGGATTGCTCTGACTTTGTTATAAGAAGCCGTCTGGAAGTCTTGGTATATATTGTGTAACTGGATAAGCAGTGGAAATATTTTGCAATTTCACAAGAACATTGGGTCAAAAAACAAAAACAAAACCAAATAATCAGAAAACCCTAAGAGATCAGAAAATTACATCAAGAAAAGAATTTGTAATTTTTCTCTTTTTAAAATACAATTTTTCCCATAGAAGTGAAGTAGTTACAGAATAACTAGAAACGTTAATGAGAGTGGGAGTGGAACTTGTTCAATTCTACAAATTTTCTACAAATGTGTGCCTATGGTTTACACTTCCTCTCCCAAATCCATATTTCAGAAATGTAATTATATTCACAGTGAATATATAATTTCCATTCTGGCTTTCTTTTATTTACTGTAATAAGAAAATGAGCAGTAAACTTTCAAGTAAGAAAATTAAAAAGGAACAGTTACACTTCAAATAATGTTTTATTATGAGTCAACAATAAATCTTAGTCGCAGAAAGAATGACAACGTTTCATGTACAAAAGACTTTAAAAGTGTAATTTGTCAGATTGAAGTAAAATCATAAAATAGAGTTTATTATGGATTTTTTTTTACTTTCACATTATACAAGTTTGCCAAAAAATTTTTTTCTTATGCAGTTCTGTATTCAGGTTTTCCCCCTATTTAGCTTAAGGCTCCCAAGTGCTATTGCTTTTGGAAGGGTTTCTAAGTAGAATTCAGGCAGAAATATAAAGAGAGAGAATAGAATATTTGAAATTGCTCTATTCATTTATTTTTGAGACATAATCGCTAATCTAGTAGACTGGCTTCAAATTCCCTATGTAGCTTCAGATGACCCTAAAGTTCTGATCCTCTTGGTTCTACTTCTTGTGTGCTGGGGCGGTGGAGGAATATCACAGGACTGTTTCCATGGTGCTGGGATTTCCTCTCAGGGCTCTGTGCATGCTAAGCTTACTAACCAAGCTACAACCACACATCGCTGGAACTTATTTTGAGAGTTAAGCAGGAGGAAGTTTATGGAAGAAGCAACATAAGCAAAAATGCTGACAATCCTGAATTTGATACATACGTTCTATTTCTTGCTCTACTGATGTAAACTTGAAATTCTTCACTAAAGAAGAGACTGGTACCACCAAAGTTTGTTATAAAAAACCTTGGAATCTAAGCTTCATAGATAAATTAAACAGCCACCACTACCACCACCACCAACAACAACAAAGGACATTTTCTGAATTATTTACCTCCCCTAAATGTATCAAGAAGCAAGCAGTTAAATTTAGATTAGTGAGTTTCCTCCTAACTTTGAAATGTTACAGCTTTGTGGCTAAAGGGCAGTACTGGCTCTTCTCAAGGATAATCTGGACTTGAAGAAAGAAAGCAAGCCTGAATCTACATCCTATATTCCCAGGAAACTGAAGACGGGAGAGCAAGAAGGCAGTTATTCTCCATCCTGACTTCCCCCTGTAGGCTAAAGTCTCAGAGGGGAGAGTGAGCAGACATGTCTACACGAGAATGTGTTTTAATGCTACATCAATAAGTAATATGTGTATCTGGTAACTATTCCAATCAAACAAAATTGTTTACCAAATAAGTGAGCCATCCTCTGACCTAGAGCTCTTGGGTCCTATCTGGTGAGCATATTTGGGAAGAAAGAAATGGAGGAACTCAGGGAGAGGTGTGTATATAGGGGTAGGTTGGCACATCTCTTTGTGTGGAGGGTGTTATTTAACTTCATTAACCAGTCTATGGAGAGGTCTTGTTCTGGCATGGGGCAGAATGTATCCATGTATCTGAGTGTGGTGAGAATACATTTTTAATGTTATGCTGGCCATGTATGTATCTGGCAGTTAGTACAAACAATACAAATTAGCTTTTGAAATCAGTAAGCCATTGTGTAGTGGCATCTTTTTAGTTATATCGTAACAACCCAGAGACTATTATTCTTCTTGAAAGACCCCTGTGGCATAATGCGAAAAGACTGAGACATTTCTACTCCCAATTGTCCTTCTTCAGGAGAACAGAGAACAGATGACCATGGCTCTTTACCAGCTGAAATTCAGGATCAGTGCACACCTAGAAGTCAGCTCATGTGTCATCCTCCCACTTTCCCTAAACCCAGAAAGCACATGAACCCTGACCTCTCACACTGCCACATGCCACGTAGGGGACAGTTACTGCAGTAGCACTGAATGGAGATTGCTAAAGGAAATAAAACAAAACAAATATACACCGAGTTCTCAAACAGACTTTCCAAAGTAGGAGAAAGAAATATTATATTTCAAAAGTTAATTTTTATCACTCTTTTTTACCACTCAGTGAGGAGAAGATACATGACTAGCTCCGGAGGGAAAAAGAACCATTTTTAACCATGTATCTGAGTGTGGTGAGAATACATTTTAATGTTATGCCTGCCATGTATGTATCTGGCAGTTAGTACAAACAATACAAATTAGCTTTTGAAATCAGTAAGCCATTATGTAGTGGCATCTTTTGAGTTATATTGTAACAACCCAGAGACTACTATTCTTCTTGAAAGACCCCTGTTTGCCTATAACACCCCTTCTATGTTCTTTAATAATAGGCCTCAAATTTTTCCTGGGCAGTGAGTCAATGGTTGCATTTTCAGTCTTTCTTGGGATTAAATGTCCCCATGTAATGACTTTTTGGATAGCGGATTGGGTAAGAATGATGACGAACTCCTTCTCTGGGTTCGTTCTTTAAAACAAAAAAAAAGCCCACTTCCCCCTCGGACTTTTAATGATCAATCTGTAGCACAGCAAATGCATAAAGAAGCATGGCTGTTTAGTGTCACTGCCTGGGACCCAGTGGTATGTGCTATAGTTTAAAAATTATGTTATTAGTGTGCATGCCGGGGCACACATGGATGATGTGTGTGATTGTATGTGGGACCTTTGTAGAGGTCAGAGGACAACTTTGTTCCTTTATTTTTCTTCTCTTGATGTTACATGAGTTAGAGGAGTTGAGTTCAGATAATCAGGTTGGCACAGTTGGGTGGCAAGTTCCTTTACCCACAAAACCATGTGGACTTGGCCCTGTGTCAAACTTTTAGAAGCTGGATGGGACCCATCTTTGACAGAATGTCAATGTTACTTAGCTCATGACTAGATATACTTAAGAAAAGATCACAAACACACACACTCCTGTAATTCAGCTACTTGGGAGGCTAAGGCATGAGGAGGCCAATCTGGGTAAGCTATGAGCACTTTTGTTTGTTTGTTTTTGTTTCTTTTTACAGGAAAGAAACAAAAACAAATGAACAATAAAAACAATCTCCCAAAGAAAACATGTTAAGATATGCTGAGAGTCTAGTTCCCAGCACCCCAGAAGATAACTTAATTTAAAAACAGGGTATTCTTTAACCCATTTTTTACTGTTACCTTCGTAGGATACAGGCGTGCTCCGATGGAAGATGACTGGGGCACAGGAAGGGTACCAGGCGAGGAGAAAGGCTGGAGTACAAGCACAGAAACCACCAGTACCACCAGTGGCTAGAAGCCAGTGGAGTGCATCTTTCCCGAACATCTCCAGAGACAGAATGGCCATACTGCCCCATTGACCTGAGAGTCTGACTTCCCAAAACGGAAAGAGTAAATGTCAACTTTAAATTATCCAGTTATCAGTGTTCTTCTGTCTCACACCTAGCAAAATAATACAGTGTATAGAAATAAAAAATGTAATTGATAAATGCATTTTTATAGCATTTATGGTTTAAGATATCATCACACTGGAGGAATCTGTACCTTTGAAGATAGAGATGAAAAAAACATGAATAACTGAAGGATTAAGAAAAATCAAGACACCAGTTAGTTCTTCAGATATCCCTTCCTTTCTACACTCCAAAGTTAACTACCCTCACTTCTGCAGGAGACTGCAGATTTATTTAATAGTTATTGAATCAGGAACTCCGGATTCAGGAGGAAGCAAGGATGACATAGCATATTAGAAATTAGGAAAATAAGTAAAAGTATTTAAATTTATTTATGTATTTTACATATTTATTTATTTTTTATTTGAGACTGATAGTACTGGTAGCTCAAGCTATACTGAAATTCACTATGAAGATCAGGGCAGCTTCAAAACCCAAATCTGCTTGCTTTTGTTTCCTAGCTGTTAAGATTACAGTCATATGCCACCATGCCCAGTGCAGATACAATTGTTTTGAAGTTTTCTACTCAGCTGGGGCAGCAGAATATCACAATTAGCCTTTAAGCAGAATTATACACAGTTGGAGTTACTGTGTTCTGAATTTTAGAAAAATGCAAACACACAAAAAAGCTTAATTTTCCTAAGCATTGGCATTTCTAGGAACTTCAAATGTCTACACAAAGAAGAGTGTTTCTAGTTCTGTATGCAAGTAAACTGTTCTGACCATAGAAGTTAATTTATTTATTCTGTCTCTAATTTTCTATTTGGATATATCACATTATATTAACTATATATACATTTTTAGAGTTACTGACACATGTAAATGAATTATATATATGTGCATGTGTCTACAGTATATGCACATATACGAGGCACACATAGAGCTCAAGCTGTGTATATTAAAAGAATGAAATAAAATATTTGCTAATGTTTGTGGGTACCCTGGAGTTTTACTGATATAACTTGAGAAATACTGTTCTAGGTCCTGGGAGTTACGGGGGATGATATAGGTCCTAGAGAACACCTTAGAGGAATTGTTCAATGGAATGAATAAGCGTAAAGCTCACTGGGTAGTTTATAACTTTGGCAAAGTGATTGTTTCTGCAAACAATATATTTCCACTTTGTTTTTCTTGTTCTGCTAATGTCTTGCTGACCAACCTTCAGTCCCTGTAATAATGAGAAATGTCATGTAGAAAGATTGAAGCTTAACACTGGATTTCAAAGATTCAAGGATAGGAACAATTTCTTGGGGTGGTGAAGAAGCTTCTCACTGCAGCTGTTCACTCTAACTAGCATTACTCAAGATTGGTCAGAGAGTGGATCGGATGCAGGGACAGTTAGTGTGTTTCAGAAGACCTGGTTGCAAGGTCTTAGGCAATAATATTTTTAAAAGATTTTATGGATGCAGCATCCCCTTCAGTCCTGGAAGACACTGCCTCACAGCAGGCATCCTGGTCCTCTGGATCTTACAACCTTTCTGTCCCCATTCTCTGAGATGGTTCCTGAGCTGTGAGTGTGGGAGTTACACTGATACATTGGGCTGGGCACTCCATAGTCAGTCATTCTAACTAGATGCATATCTCTTATACACATATGGAAAAGCCTCTGTACATAGATGGGACAGCCAGCATCTGCTATACATTGAAGCTTCTTTAATAATGGCAAGAGCTACACTTATCCGTGGGTATAAAAGTATTTAGAAAATATGTTAATTTAGGAAATCAGCAGTAGAGTGGTCTCCTCTCATGCCTATTGAGGTCGTATGGAATCATAGGCATTTCCTTTGTCTCTGTATACAGAGAAATACTTTACAGAGTTGGCATACTCTGGAGAGTATTTAGGCAGCCAGAAGCTCATCTTAAAATTGATTAGATCATTCACAGTGTGGTATGTGTTGAGGAATATGCTTTACTAAAGCTTGTCTTACTACTCTACTGACATCCTGAGATATATGGGAAGCCAGAACATTATCCTCCAGGTAATTAAGTCATGAGAGGGTTTGGGGCCTATTCGTCAGAGTAACTTTGGAAAGGCAAACACTTCTGATTATTTTCCTCCTTACATTCCCTGCCTGTGAAGCGAGATAGTTCCAAATCCCATTGGAGAGAAAAGCCAGAAGAAAGGAACGATCAAAGAAATTCTCTCCATGAGAGGAGAGTCATACCAGAGATGAGTGGTCAGTAACTTGTGTGCTGGTAATAAATGCCAGAGGTCTTTTTGAAATAAGAGGAACATGAAAACTATATTGAAAACGATATGAACAATGTTGACAAGAGCGGACAAAAAAGCAGAAGGAAGGGTACCTTCCTGGCTGCCCTCCTGGGGGTAGTGTTGGCAAGTTTTAATTTGGTGTTACGTGACCTCTAATTCTGGTGGTTAGTTAGTATTCCATGGCCAGAGTCAACAAATTTGCGAGAACTGGTGAGGTTCATAGAAGAACACAGAATAGATAAACATGTGTGGGTGGGTTCCCCAGGATAAGACATGTTGTGAATGTTCTAGATGAGTTTTCCATTGACATTGGACTTTCTGATAAACTCTTGCCAAAGGGACTGTTACCTTCTAACATTGTTTGGGCCATCGTGCCTGATATCCGCTCAGAACACCATGTTCTTAGTAGCATCACGAGGACTTAATGCTGAGCAGAGTGATGGCATCGGCCAGGACTTCACTTCTGATCTGGGGCTAACACAAAGGATGATTAGGGTTTAACTCACCAAATTTGCCAAATGCAGAAGGGCCTATTCCTTTTCTTGAGAGTATTTTTAGTTTTATTTTATTTTTTATACTTGAGTGTAGTTCCATATTCCTCAGGACCCTATCCTATCACAGGCTATCCTATCTATGAGTGTGAATTATCCTTTGAGAATATTTGAAATCCTGTGTAGCTGAACGCACCATAGTGCCTTCTGCACTCAATCCCAATGTGAAGCTTTGCAGGGACCACATTTGGATATTGTCACATTTCGTTGCAAATGAGTCAGATCCAACACAGTTGGAAAGCTCCTCCTTCAGGCCCATCTGTTGGCCCATGAGCTTACTGTGTATGCCTCATACTCATTTGTTTACGATGTGATCGAACTGTTAAGATTCAGTTTTGGGGCTGGGGAGATGGTCAGTAAATACTTGCTTTTTGCAAGCACAAGGATCTGACTTTGACCCCTAGAACTCATATCAAAAAAACTGATATGGTGGCTCACAAGAGCTGGCTAGCTAGCCTACCTCCTTGCTGAGCTCCAGGCTAGTGAGAGACTGTCTCAAAACAAAAGAGGAAGAGGCATATGGTACCAGAGGGGGGATGACACTCAAGGTTGTCTTCTGGACTCCACATTCTCTCTCTCTCTCTCTCTCTCTCTCTCTCTCTCTCTCTCTCTCTCT